GTGTGTGTGTGTGTGTGTGTGTGAGAGAGAGTGTGTGTGTGAGTGTGTGTGTGTGAGAGAGAGAGTGTGTGTGTGTGTGTGTGCTTTTTTATATCTTTCATAGTATGTTCATTTAAACAAACTATGTAATGGCTTTTTTTCTGGTTGGTCAAAGAGGATAAGCATAGTAGATCGCAGGCCATGTGCTGACTAAGCTTTTATGTTAATTACATCCAAACGAGTCTGATTGCGGATAATGTCAGAGTCTGCCAGTCGACAAAGATACTCATCCAGTCTTTCTTGGCTTTAGCTCCGTTGGCAAATTATTCAGTGTACATTTCTAGCTTTTGCCAGGTAGTAAGATATAACAATGAAAATAAATGTCCTCACTAAAACCCCAACTACAGATAATTCTTTTTCTTCCATCTCCCTCTTTCTATTTTTTACTATATTTGACCAATTTAATTATTGTGTGTAAAGTGTAAATACTGTTTGTGCCTATATTTAAATTGTACTTGTTAACTTATACCCGCAGAAGTGATGAGTATTAGAAAGTGAGAAAACCCATGAGGATGTATTAATGGCTAACCTATATTGCCTTTGAATTATAACATTTAGGCATTTTTACACAACCTGGCAACCCAAATGTGTTCTTATTAATGGCTTGTAACTGATGTGTAAAGCAAGACTACATTATTAAACAGCCATTAATAAAGCCATTATTCAAAACTGCCATTCATAAAGGAGGTAGAAAGTACCAACATTTCTTTTATCAAGGAAACTTGACTAGATTTCAGTACATTGTTGTTGATATATGGAAGTGTTACACATGGCACAGCGGCGTGGAATGACGAGACATGGCAGTGCACACCCATGAATTTTGTTTAAGCTAAATGCTAAGAATGTTTCACACTTTGTCCTCACTGCTATCAATCATCATGAAGTGTTTGCGTGTCTTTGGCAATTCTCAACACTCAAAAAGACACATTAACAAGAGACATTAAAAGGGGGCTTGCACACACTGACACTGGCAGTGTAAAAAATGATCACTGTCGCCTTAGTAAAACGACTCTTTAATGGCATCACTTGAAATTATTAAAAAAATGTTGCTCTTATTTATTTATTTTTTTTCATCTTTCATAGACCTGCCGTGATCTCGCTGGAATTTCCCGACCTTTTGTGAGCTCCTTTAAGTTGTACAACCGTGGAGAGAGAGAGAGAGAGAGGGAGAAATTAAAGTCGATATCACATGAAAGGGGACTAATTCTTATGTTTTATTCATGCGAGTAAAGGTATTAATATTCACAGAAATGAATTATGGACAAGCCGGGCACAGGTCAGATGAGCTGTTCAGTTTAACTTCAGAATCGTGTGAGGGATCTAGATGCTTCCCCTAAGGAGCTGCTTGTGATGTCTGGGTTTATTACAAAAGCCTTGGCAGAGTGTGGGAGATATGGGATCTAACTACATCACATGGCGTAATTACACTGATGGCAATTAAAGTTTGCCTATAAGTACCCGTGTCCCAGCTTGTGGGATGTTCAGCGTTTAATGGCCGTCATTAATTTAAATGGAAAATTACATTATACTGTGTAGTAAGCAGTTATTGTTCTTATTCGAGGCTTAGTCCGACAATCCAGATGTAGTCCTAATGTATATGTTGTTGAAACGCCAATCTCTTACATAACTGTAGGGGTTGCGATGTGAGTGGCTTAAGCGTTACTACGATTGATTACATTTAAATAAAAGTTACATAATATAATCTGTAGCCAGTATTCTTAATTAAAACATATTTTTGTGTTTGATTGTGGGCTGCCAGGAGACCTTATACACCTTTTTAACTAAAAGTGGGATTGCTGCAACAGTGGAGGAGGCTCTTAATCATTTTTGTGGACTTTTAGTCAGCACCATCAGACCTGTAGCAAAACACGCTCAAGTGTCAATTTAGCAAAAACCTCATTAAATAATCCACCCATTTATGGCCATTTATCTGGGTCGAGATAGCGTTAATTTAATAAAATATATCATTAGGAATTATTGTCATATACTATTGGGAAGTACCAAAAAAGAAAAAGGTTGTGTATAATAAATTTATCATCTGTACTGATTTTTCATCAAACTTTCATGCTGTGGCCGGTGTGATCATAAAACGGGTATTAAATTCTATGTGGTATTAAAAAGCTCTCAACAAGTCTTAAATTTAGGAAACCCTGTGACTGATACCATAAATAGGGATCTCAGATCTTTTGACTGAAAGGAAATATGTTGCTTAATAGAAATCTTTTGTTGTTTGTTGTTGTTTCTCCCTCCCTTAATTTGTCCTGTTTATGTTGACTGAGAATCCAACGGGCCAGACAGGATATTACATCCTTGAAAGCACATAGGGTTCAAAACACAATAAAGTTTGTGGCCTTGTCACTCTCTGATGATTTCATAACAGACTTACACCGCACAGTGCCTTCAGAAAGTATTAATTCCTGCATTTTGTTGAAGCTGTACCCTCCATTCAACATGTTTTTCCCATTTTTCATTGATAGATTAAAAACATGTGCCAATATTAAAACATCCTCATAAATACGTCTCTGACTTCTACATAAACCTGAGGTTTCTTAAGACCCCTGTTTGCTCGAGGCTCACTGTAAGGTGTATCTTCAACCTTAGCCAGGGCTTTACTAAGGATTTTATAAATCTTCCTCTGGCAATTTAGGCCAGGCATCAAAAAGAAGGTTTATGTATTTTTTTGTAAATGTTATTTTCAAACATGAAGATTTAAATTCTGTCAGAGACTTTTTCAAGCTGTTAGTTATACATATACAAAGTCTAAAAAATGCTGGAATCAGCCCATACAATGACCATGTCTAAGTTTTTTAATTGGAAATCCTTACAGGTTGTTAAAACCCTCAAATTTCCAGAAACAAGGGAAAAGGGGATAGCCCTAAGCAAATCTATTCTGAATGTCCACCATTCTATACTACTAAATGTGAAAAATTAAAAGGTAACTAAAAAGCATCATTCTTCCATCATTGCATTGAAAATAAATGATTAAATAGTGAGATAATGTGTACACTAAGTCTTACTCCAAACAACAAAGTTATATAGAGGTCAATCCTGATAAAGATGGACGTCTTTTCAAACAAAAATAGCCAGCAGATTTCTGTGGATCAGTGGCTAATAATCCCCAGTATTATACCAGAGATCACAAAGAATGATAGAAAGAATGAGACCTATTGCAACTCTAACATTGGCACCATGGGAGTATTAATAGTAACGTCTGGTGCCAACGATACAGTGGTATATTATTTGGTATTACGCATAGGGACAGGTGGATGTATGCAGGGAGACCCTGCAACATACTCATATACTCTGAGCCAAGTAAATATAGCTGTGAATGTGCAGCTCAGGAATGTGACAAGGATAGCATAGATAGTAGAGGCTGCAGAGTCCAACTGGATGAACAGAAGCTGCTGTTGGACATTGTATTTGGTATATGGACACATCAACAATTTTAAAGTTGAGCAGCCATTAAATCCAAGTATAGTACTACTTTATCTTAGCAGCCCCCTCTGTCTTCTCTATTTCATCGTTATCCAGAGTTTCCAGAGTTCTCATTAAAACCACTAGTGGCTAAATCCCAAACTTGTCTTGAAATTTGTGAGTCAATGTCCTTCATATCTGCAGTGATTCTCTGAGCCTGAACAGAAAGCTCCCTGCTTATGCTGTGGGCTAGAGATTAATTTTAAGTCCTTACCTACGTGCTTAACGTGGTAATATAATGTATCAAGTGATTAACTGAAAATTAAGGAACCAAATGGAGCACTTTGCAATCATTTTGAGAACTTAAAGAGTTATAATGAAAGTGCAGTGCAGAAGAGGTGTTAAAAAAACCCAGCTCTGCTATTACTGCTGTTCGGCATATCCGTGCACCTTCTTGCATTTCAATTGCTTAATTCAGATTCATACATTTTGATTTATTTGACCCAATGATTGTGTGTTGGTGGGATACAATGAGTTTCCAAAGCCACTGAGAGTTAGTCATCCATTGTTCGTTATATAATGCAGCTTTAATTGAAGTCAGTCCTTCTTGATGTCCTTTATATCTTATTTGACAATAAGAAATAAGACAAATGGAGACGATTGTATACCATTGGCAATTTAGAATACCTTAAAGTACAAGGCCAGAGACTTTTTTATATTGTTCTTATTGTCATAAAATCCCATTAAAAGACAAACCAGCAATGAATTGATCCTAGCTACTGGTATTGCCTTTTTTGTCAAAGCCTAAAATAGATTATTCTTCTGTGTTATACTGTTGTCCTAAACCTAATAAAAACATTTCAACGTGCCACACTGGGTGACACATTCCTTCATTACAATGAACATGGGCATTGTAGTTTATTTTAAGTCAGCCCCTGCATACTTTAAATACTCACTAGCATGCCAAATGTGTATTAATCCGCAGCTGAATAGAGAATAGTCCCCCCAAAAAAGGCACTATTTACTCTTGTTTGTGTAATATGTTCTGAAAACTACAGTGCCCAGCTGTTTTAGGAAATTACTAAGCGTTTTTGAAAATTAAATTATTTAGTGAGATTACGTTTTACATGCCACACACAGGGTAGGGAAGTATTGAAAGATGAACACGCGTATCCTTAGTTTTGGTCTTGTAATGTTTTAAAAAAATATATAGAATATTGCCAGCCTTGCCTTTTAAATAGATAGATATTTCCTCATTTGTTGTTTTGATGATGGTGGTAGTGTGTGCTGTCAAGTTGGTATAAATCTCCCATACATCTACAGTAGTTTGCGATGTGGTGACTGTGATGTAAAGACTTGAAACATGTTTTTGTTAAGTGTCTTCCCTCATTGATTCAGCTTTTCCCTTTCATTTGTCACTATGTTGTTGTCAAATCGACTTAATCCCTAACCATGGAAGTCTAAAGGATCTCTACTCTCTTGATTTAATCCCATTGTTTCTCTCCACTATATATGTCCTTAGTATATTTTCTTTTACTGAATTAATTCTTGTCATCAACAAAAAGAGACCTATATAGAGCAGTAACATCCTTTCCAATGCTATAGAAATCTGTTGACTAACTGAGGCATACAGCACATCATGTGCTCAGCCATGTATGTGCAGCCTCGGGGTTTGTTCATATGCATGCAGGCTTTCAAGATTTTTCAATTCAGCACTTAAGACTGCATATCTTTGTCCTAGCTCAGACGGTATCTGCTTCTTTGATTTGTGCATAGTGAATGAACACACAGCGTAATATGTTTGTAAAGGAAACCACCCAGAAGGGAAACATCTATGGGAGAAATTAGTAGATTCATGCAGTGGATTAGTCAGTAAGGAAGCCAATGGACAGTGTGTCACCCAGACATGAATGTAAACTCATTGCTGGTTTCAGTTTTAATAATAAACTGAGAGCGCATTACATTCCTTAAGAGAAATGTATTGGCTATAATCATTCTTATGATCATATACAAGGCTTTAATCTGAAAACATGGATTGTAAACATATAACTCTTCCTCTGAGAATTTAAAATGACAATATGAACTTTCTACAGAACTTGGGTGAGGCTTAATTTTGGAAAACGTGTTCTCACTATAAGAAAACTATATATTAAACATATTTAATAATACATACATTATATTTGAATATCACTGTCGGGCATTTAAGGTAAAAAGAAACTGAAAGACAACAGATAGTATTTGTACATTTTATTCATCCATGAAAAAGACCTTTTTATATATATATTTTTACAGGGGTTGTTTCCCCAGTGTTGTGCATTTTCACAGTTTTAAATATTTGCCAGAACTGACCCATTTTCAAGTATTGGTGTAAAAGTCAAAGCCAAACAAGTTAACACAAACTGCTTTAACTATTTCAGTGTATTTCCAGAAAACAAACCAAACAAAATGAGAAACATACATGGTCGCTCATATTATCTTATGTGCTACATTTAGGGTTGTATTTAAACCATGGGACTATGTTAATTTTAAAGTAAGGAGAACAGCAAGATGAAATGTTACTAACTTTTATTTTACGAGATAAAACCAAAAGTGGTCTCGAGTGTGAACTTAGAGGTTTTTATTGGTTTAAATAAATGGATGATGATTCACTGATGTCTCATAGAGGTTAAAAAAAAGACATAAAGATCTGAAGCAAAGGTAGCAGCCCTCAGAAGAACTGTAATGGTGTGGGTTTAGGAGAGGAGGCTTTCTTTCCCTTGGCACAGCCCTACAAGCTAATAACACAACAACAAAGAATCTTCCACATGGCTACATTTTGCATTTGTGATATTTATCTGGAAATACAAAGACGCTAAATGCATTTAATGATGAAAAACAACTGAAAACCTATTATTAAGTGCCAAGTTTTTTTTAATTCACAAGTCACTTGCAATGTCCTACTGCATAGTTTTGGCTTTGTCCAATTTTGGCACTTTTTGCCCTCTATAGAGCAAACGCACATTGTGCGATCTATTTATTTATTTTCTTCCTGTGGCTTAGTTAAGGAAGCACATAAAGCATCTATGAAGTTCTTCTGTTGTGTGAACATAAAATACACATCATTAACACATTTATAACAAATTCAGACACACACAGAAGCAAATTAGTGCCCTTTTCCTACAATATAACATGAAATGCTGTTGATAGTTGACAGGCACCCCACTGAATGACCTCAATGCTTCCATTTCTGTTTCATATTAAAACCTACTCACTCTAGTTTAACAACACAAAAGATACACATGTCACTTCCTGTTTATTAGTAAACAAGTGTGTGTGTGTGTGTGTGTGTGTGTGCATATGGCTTTGTTAGCATGTGCATGTGCTCAGACAGTCCACGTGCAGGGCCGATAAATGAGTTCACACTGTCAATGTGACACCGCTGTGACAATCAGATACCACGCCAGGCCTGCTCCTTTCCCCTCAGGGTGTTTGTGTGTTTGCGAGGGCAAGCTCTGTCCCTATTTTATGACAAGGACGTTACCTTCCCTGCACTGTGTGTTTGTGTAAGAGAGACAGTGAGAGAAAGAATCATGACTCAACAACAGCAGAAGCACATCAGTGAAACTCCTCATCCTGCCTAAATCCCTCAAAGGGGATTTAACACACACGCTCACACGCAAACATGTTGTGAATCCTGGCCACCCTGCATGTCAAGGTTTAATTACATTACGTGTAGTCCAACTCGAGTACTATCCACAGTGTCCATAGGTCATCGAAAAGACATTACGAGGCAGTCCACAATACAGAAATGGCCCCCCATACATTAGGTCACTGAGTTCAAAACATGAGCTGCAGCTTTTTCTGCTGCCTTCAAAACAAACCGCAAATTGAAATAACTTGTGGTTGACATCCAAGTTCTGCTTGGCAAATGTCAATGTTATTTTGAGCTGGCTTTAATGTCTAAATGGATTCGGTTTGTTGTCACCTTCATATTCATTCCCCCACTGTCACTCAGCAGTCTACAAGTACATTTTAGGACTTTCACACACCCCCCACACACACACACACACACACCGTGACCCTCACCTTTGCTATTTGACCTCAGCCAAACCTCACCCGTGACTCTAGCTGGCCCTTGCGTTGCACAGCACGACTCGGCACAGTTCGGTCCATCTAGGGCATGTAACTGTGTCACAGCAGATCTAATTATGACAGCAGTCCCCCAATAGCCTTTTCATTTCCCTACTCCTTATTCCTTCACCACCAATGCCCCGCGACCCAGCCTGACTCAAAGGCTAGCATGGTGACACATGAACCAAGCCGAGCAGGAGTTAGAATGTAGTTAGAATGTGAACAAAGCAGTTTAGCTGGTGCCATCAGATAGACATCATGGCTTGATGTTTGAGCTCTTGTTCAGCTTGGTATTATTTAAATTTTGCTGCATTAATCTACATGGTGCTCTGCAGAGCTGGCTGAGTGTAAGGTTTCGCTCTCATATTATTGGGTTTACACTTGAAACCATTTCACTCACGATGAAATAAATATTTAGACATTTTGGGAAATGCTTGCTTTCTTGGTGAGTTAGATGAGAAGATTGATATCACTTTCATATCTATATGTTAAATATGAAGCTACAGCCAGGATTAGTTTAGTATACAGACTGAAAGCCAACTTGTCATTTGTACACTTTGGTCTTTGTATGGATTAAACAAATGAGAAATAGTGTGTTAATTAGTGAGCTTTAGAGGTGCTGGTAGGCTCATTTTGTTACCTTTGGACAGAGCCAGGATAGCTAAGCTAATTGCTGGCTGTAGCTTCATATTTTGCATACAAACATTCAATCTTCTCATCTAATTGTCATCAAGAAAGCAAATGCAGTGCACTTCCCAAAATGTCGAACTATTCCTTTGAAGTCTTTGTAGAAATATCCGTTAAATCACAAAATAATTTAGTTTTGCAATGGTACAATGCACATAATATCCTATAAAGGTTGATACGATTGAATGCTCTAAAGTAAGGAGATGGTTGTACACTCAAACATCAGCAGCTTACTGATCTTAGTGAAATACATACAGATTATTTCTTTGGTTGGAGCCAAAACACAGGGGCTCGCAAGATGTTGGTAACATCTGAAAGTGAAGCAGATGCCAAGTCTGCTTTTAAAAGAATTTTCAGTCTGTAGCTGGAGCCCTTCTCAAACATTAACAGTTGAATCATTTAACATTGGTATTTAGCTGACCAGCGCTGCTCTTGTTTATGCGTGCCGTTGGTTCGTACATTTGCTGGCGGTGAAATAAAGGGAGGCAAGCCCCACATTTCTGCAGCGAGAGCTACAACTGGCAAAGCAGAGAAGTGGGTCATCTATATGCCAATCGAGCAGTAAAGATCAAACTTGCATGCCTCTTGCTCTGCTTTTCAGCCTTGACAGATAAAAACAAGAGAAAGAAGAGGGGAAGGCAGTTGGGGGGAAGGGAGGAGTGGGAGGAAGATCACTGGTGTAGATGAAGATTACAGATTATTGAGCATGAGGGACAAAAACACTGTTAACATGAGTCAGGCGTGTTTGGATTTTAATATTACAGAAAGAAAAGGGATGTTGTTGATTTAAAGGAAGGCAATAATTATGGATACACTGTGTGTAAGATTGTCAGACCGGTGGCTAAAAGACAAAGCAGATACCCTGCTGCTGTTTTTATTCTCCAGTTATTACCAGTTATTTACCCTGTGTGTGACTGCTGAGTAATCAAAGTATTGATTGTTCATTGTGAGCAATGCAAACACTCAATTACTCACTGTGGCAAGAAGGAGTAGGCCAGACAAGATGGATGAAAAAAAAGAGAAGGGAAGGAAGTGAAAAAGGGGCCCTGAGATGGAGTGATACGGAGAAAGGAAAACCCGACGCCGAATGCTACAACTGCCTATAAACAGTGAATGAAATGAAGCCAACTGAGAAGTGCTTTTGAGGACTCTTTGCTCAAGTTGTTACTGCACGTTATTGTGTTGAGTGCTATTGACAAGGGTTGGCTTTGTTGATGTTTGTCATCGGTACAGAGCATCTCTTGGGTTGCATAATGCACTTGAAGCACAACTAGTTAGCTCGGTTGTGTGACTGTGTCTACGCGTAATGCTGGTTGTACTCGTGAGACAATACATTTGTCAGGTAAATGCAACTGAACATAAAAGCCTAGACCTCTGACCCCGGGTCGTCTTCTGTGGTATTGTTCCTGTCCTAAACCCACACTCCAGCACCAACAGTCTGGAAGAGACGGGACACATGAGCAAAATACTGCATTGCACTTTGTTTAAGGCTAAAAAGTTTGCAGTGGAAAGCGATGTAAACTTAAGGCAGCATGGATTGAATGTCTTGCATGTTTTTTTAAAAAGTACTAAAATCTAGTAATGTCACCCAATGCAATAAACAACAACAAACAAACAAAATTGAATGCACTCTCTCCCAGCCTATAAATAAAAACACAACTGGTATTCATACTCAAGGTTTGTGCATATCAATGTATGTAGCGTGTGCGGACATGGTCATGTAAATACTTAAAACCACCCACACTCACAAACCCCATATCACTTGGCCCAAACAGCCAACATATAAAATGAAAATAAAAAACAAAGAAATTCTCGAGTTCTTCATTTTTGCAATGATTTCATTTAGCACAGTGCGACCCGACCCAGTTTGAAGGTAGAATGGTTGCAGTTTGTTCGTTCCAGTTTTAAAAGTGTGTTCAAGCCCCCACCTCAAAGCAACAGCTGGTCTTTTTCTCAGAGCTGGTTTCGTTGGTCTCTGCCTGTTTTTCTCTCTGTCAGTCTTTTTAAAACGTAAGACAGAAGAATATAGAGGCCAAAAAAGAGGGAAAGGGTTAAAGCAGTGAGCGCTGGTGACGAGCAGGAACAAAAGAAAGAGAACAAATAAGAGATGATACTGTTAAGGTATCCAAGGCCAGTCTGGTCAGTGAAACAGGTCAGTATTTGGGTGGGATGACCACTACCGGGTCACCATTCTTTGGCCGCCACATAAGCACCTGGGCGTCATTGGCGTTGGGCTTGACCATGGCGTTAGTAGGGATGGGCTCATTCTTGCCCAGGATCTGGGGCTGTTCCTGGGCTAGCGGCTCATTGAGAACAGCCCTGTGACCAAGAGGCTTCTCTGGGTCCACTCGGATGTGAAGTCGCATCCTCCAGCGGATCGTCTGCAGGACGAGTGTCTCTGAGGTGGCCTGGTTTATGGCCACCAGCCAGGTCGTAAAGCTCTGGTCGCGGTGGATGCTGCTAAGCTGAGGCACGTTGCTGTCGCTGACGGGCACACCCCAGGTCACGCTGGGGTAGAAATTGTCATTCATACTAACAGTGAACTTGCTGTCCTTCTTCGTGGGGCCTACGACGGTGCAGGTTTCTGTGGTGTTGCCGTACCAGGGGTAGTTCACCCCATCCGAGTCGCTGATGGCCTGGATCTTGCCATCGCGCAAGTCAGGAAGCTCCCAACTCGACCTGGAAGTTAAAAGGAGTGACAGATGAGGATTTACCCAGAAATGGAGCTCATAGACATTAAGTGATTAAAGGATAACGGCAGTTTTATTACAACTTTAGTCTTTTGATCATAGTTTTGGTATAACATTGTATTTATCATCATCACTACAACTAAGTCTGACAGGGCAAGAAAGACAAGTGAACAACAACAATTGAGCCAGTTTTTGTTGAAGCCACTTCCTTTGGAGGTATGGAGCATATGTGAAATGTTGTGTGTAATTACACAGGAAATGTCATGCATGCACAGTAAGTACAGTAAGCCAAAGCTGAAAAAGGAGATTGCCTGTAAACTGGGATGGATGTTTACAACTGGCAGTATTTTATCATAACTTTTCCATTTTGCTTTGTTTTCTCTTCCAAATAAGTTATATTTCTTGACTAGACTGACAAAAATAAGTTGTAATAAACCAGAATTATCCTTTAAGTTCATCTCTGGAGCACTAAACCAAACCAAAAGATTACTCATGTAAAAAGCTCTCCTATCTAATCTTATGTATAAATTGCAAATTTGCATCTCAATAGTGTCCCTCTTGATATCACTGTATATCTAACAGCACATGACAGAAACAAGGAGTTGACTCAAAGCCTCACAGTTGGAGCTTTCCACCAATTTTCAAACTGCTGAGGAAAAATACAATTCTACAATAAAATATTGTGACACACACAGCAGGCGACACCGAACGACTAAAGCGACCTGGTACCCCTGGCCTTTCTACCTATTGATTTTCTGCCTGCGGCAGGAAAAAGATTACCTTTCATTCCCTGAAGCTGAGGATCAGCAGGACATAGAAGATAACAGTGTGATCACCAGCCACATGACTTACTGCCTGCTTGGCCTGGCCTCACATTGTGATTTATGTATTCACCCAGGGGGTGAGATTAGCATGTCGGGCATGATAATAGCTGGTCCTTGTGTGTGTGTGTGTGTGTGTGTGTGTGCGTGCATGCGTGCTCTTGTGTGTGCATATGTACATTTCTGTTCTGAACAATCACATAATCCTCTCAACTGGTGCCTCCAAAACAATTTGCAGCAATTTTCCATTTTGTCATAACGTCCAATACTAGAAACAGTAAATATCTGCATCTGATTTTTAGTGGAAAACCTATTTATTATTTATGAGCACATGACTTGATATAAATATCAAGCTTTTCCACTGTGCAGACAGTATGGCCTCAAAGCACATGTGCAGTTGAACTAACAAGTATTAGTCCATAGCATTTTCCTTCATCAGGAGGTTCTTCCACACTGTTGTGGCAAAAAAATATTTTAAAATATACATCAAAAGCAAGAACATACTATATCAGCAAGCAACAGTGGCGTGGTGGGCAGGCGAAGTAGAGTCGTCTACCCGCTGAGGAACTTTGATCATGAGTGGGGAAAGCGTTGCAGAGATATGGCTCACTTCCTGTTTGTGTCTTCACTGCCTGCTTTGTCACAACCAAAGGGTCTGCAATAAGTGGTGTAAGTGTTTGTGACAGAATTGCAGGGATGTTAAAAACAATTCACTCAAAAAAAAAATAAAATCAAAAAAAAGATGGCTAGATTAAAAATTAGTACTGAACTGCCTGGCTCCTGAGCATGTTGGGAGATTGTCAGTTATTGTTAATGTTGCATGCACTACTACTTGTAGCCCCAGGGGTACTTCTGCAGTTATCAGGGAGTACTTGGACAGATTGTGGACTAACTCAACTCATTACAAACATATCGAATACAGCCACATATTGAGTGAGCTGTAACATTTGAACACCACAGGTTGTGTTGCATGAGAGCAAAGAACAGTTAGCTAAAAGCGATAAATGGTTGAAATACAGTGGATAGCTAACATTTAAAAAGAATATAAATGGTTCAAACTGTTCAAAGTAATCGCTACAAGTAATGGATGAATCCTGTGAGGCTGAAAGAAGCCGGAAACCACTGCTGTAGTACTGTACTTGGTTGCAATTTCCTGTTCACCTGTGACTTTAAACCTGATTACATGTCCTGCGTTCTACACATCAAAACTGAAAGCTCTTTACCAAAGGTTTGGCTGACCACACGTTACATAGCATAAGAACCCTGTTGAACAGCCACACTAAGTGCACCCAAACATCTTCTTTCTTACTTTTTGACAAAACCTCTAAATTGAAGCGGATTTCACAGGCTGACATTAAGCAGACTAGACTGGTGATATGGAAAAGGTTCAAAGAGAATTTGTAGCATTCATTGACAATTGCTACTGAGCTATGGAGCAGCTCACTTCCTGTTTCTGCAACTTTGCTGCCACAATCAATTGCATGTTGCAGGCAAATAGTTTGGAGTATCAAACTTCTTTGATATAAATATTGGCAGTTTTTGTCATTTTAAGAAACATTATAGCCATAAATGCTGTGAACAAACTATCAAACTTTTACCACAGATAAATATTGACTTTTGTTTCACTTCTACCACAGTTCCTATTTTAGCACCTTTACATTTTTAGGGCAACACAAGAAGAATAAATACACACATACTGCACAAACCTACAAAACACATTCTAAAAGACTTGGACAACAAAGTAGAAGAGAGATGATGAATGTGTCCAGAATCCCAAGCACATCATCCAGAGCCAACAGAGAAATCATCCTCATTACCATCCTCAGCTGTTCTGACCAATTACAGCACACTGAAGCTTTACTGCCATCAAAGAAACTACTTAGTATGAGAATCTGAGCGGTCGGAGCAGACTCATCTCATGCATCCAAAGAGCGACTTAAAAAATGAACGTCAAGAATGGGTGGCCTTGCTGTGGTCGTGAAGTTTAATGACTTTAATACAATAGTATGCTACAGGGGTAGAAAAAAAGACAGGATTTGCATAGCAAACACTGCTGCAGAGGTGGGTGGGTGCCTTCCAACAACCCTATATATATATATGGTTATACATACTGGATAACTAATTAAGTAACTAGGATTTAATAAAGGCACTTTTGAGGACTTTATCTTTTAATTTTGAGTTATTTGGTTGCAATGTGGCAACAGATAACTTCTTTAGAACTACACTAGTTGTCTAATTTTGCCTTAAAGGACCACTGTGTAGGATTTAGTGGCATTTAGTGGTGTAGGTACAACTCCCTCGCTTTCACCCTCCCCTTCAGAAAACGAAGGAGAAACTACGGTGGCTGCGAAACACACTGGCTTAAACGCTGGACCTTTACTAAAGCACATTAATTGTGAAAGTGCCGATTACCATCGCTCTTTAATAGCCGACAAAGTGACATTTAACCTAATGCGACCCACTTTTATGCCAGCGTTTGTAATTTCAGAATAAAAGTCCTTTTAAGGTCACGCTATTTTGCGTTCTGTTAATGCAATCTTTATAGGAATCTTTTACAACTTGATAAATGAGAGGGAAAAGGGCATAATATTGATTATGTGTTCATTCCTCCCTCTACCATGTTCCAAGTCAAATACAGTACACTAAGATTTCATCTCCAATTTTATGTTTTGGCCTTCAAAATGAGGTCTGTTCTTTGTTTTTGTTCATATTATGTTTCAAAATTGCATGTTTTTGAATGTGTTAGCATTCCTTCATATGGAATCAGTACATCACTATCTAACTAACAACAGTGTCGCTTGGATGAAAGAGGCAATGACTGTAAATAGAAATGCAGTTTACAAAAGGCATTGATCACATTGGACTTTCAGAGAGTAACAGGGTTCCCTCACTCTCTCGCTCTCACACCCATAAGCAGGGCCATGCTGGGGTGGGGGTGTTGGGGAGGGGACTCTGTCTCTAATCTTAGACTTGCAGCACTCAAACATCCTCAGCTGCAATGTCTGCAGATAAGGCATATTTTGGGTACATGTCAGGTTGTGGTTGCCCGCTACAGGATATAAGATGAACGCTGCTTGTCTAACATTTGTACCAATATCTCACACACAGACATACACACTCGCACAGAGAAGAAACAGAAAGAAAGGGATGTTGACGACCATTCTGTGTCATGAACGTATTGTCTTGAAGCTGAATTTGCTCACGTTTGTCTCGTTTATAACCACCGGTGCAAAATATGTGTATTGACAAGTGGAGGGATCTGAAAGGTCATAGCAATTATTTTCCATCACAATGTCCTGCTCCCATATCTGTCCCGTTTTGAAGGACTTTGTAGCCCGCAGGCATGCAGCCACCAAGCCCACTGATTGAATATTAAAGTGTCCTTACAGACAAGTCCATTTATTTGACCTTTCTATAAATGTAATACCTGAACGCAGATGTTCACGTGTAATGTGCTGATTGCACGGCGCAGTGATACTGGCAGCCCGGATGCAACCACAGACAAGTTTCACTACTTAAAAAAAATTTCCACAGAAATATCCTTTTCTTGTCATTTGTGTAATACAGAAACAGGAAATAAAGGTTCTCTTTTAGGGGTTGGCACCGACTCCTGTTACTCTGTCCATTAAGAGTTTGGCAGTGCAAGGTTGGTTTCTTTCTCTTCAAGTCCAATCTAGTTTAAATGCATCTTCTTCTATTATCAGAAACAGTTTATTGTCGGATTTGTTGGCCTAAAGTCTTTCAACTTGAAATTCTCCATGTAGTTCTTCTCTATTTTGGGTGACAGCACTTCCCCAAAAGTGTCTTCAGTGATCTCTTGTAGTCAGAGTTGGATGTTATTTATAAAATATATGTTTATATAAGTGCTCAGTGTTCCAAAATACAACATAACCATTCACTTGTGTTAATTAGAGCTCAAACCCTTCATTGATTAATATACTAGTCGACAGAAAATGAATCTGCAACTTTTTTCATTTTTCAAACAAAAATCAAAATAAATAATTAAAAAGTTATTTATTCACATTTTAGTTTCTTAAATAGAAGAATTTTGCTGCTGTCTGTCACATAGTAAACAACACTTTGGGACTTTGGGTCAGAAACAAACAAGGGCTTTAGCAATAATCAAAGGGCTTTGGTGTTAAATATACCCAACATAAAGCATACTTATATTCCTCATCCATCTCTCCTAAGAGTCCCAACCAAACACATGCTCACCAACAGAGCCCATGATACTCACATCCCTTTGTTTCCATACGTATTGTAGAACTCCATGTGGTTACACGCTTGAATCCAGCCGATGGTCCACGTCTCTTTAGTGGCTACTGGCGGCACCAGGACCCGGGCACAAGCTCGGAAGTGCGGTGTCCGGTAGCGCAGGACCACGCTGGATGACTCGTCGATGCTGGTAGGGTTGGGGTCGATGGAACTATTCACCTCCAGGACGATGATACTGTCTCGGAAACTCTTAGGCTTACACCTGATACTCTGGATACAGCCCATTGCATTAAATAGCAACACAATCCACAACAACGTCCAGAGGTCTGGAGGAGAAGAAAGACGCATGGAAACAGCAAGAAAATCACCACAGTTGGATCCACATCATGCTCTTCCACAAAAAAAAAAGTTCAAAGTGTTTATTTATAGCAGACTGTCTCATTTAAAAAAAAGCCATGCATCTTTGATTCAAAACTACTTTCAGAAAAGGAGAAGATGAGGAAAAAGACAGGCCTAGAAAATCCTCATATTTGTCGAGCGCATGCTTTCCGGTGCGTAAACGCAACTTCACCAAACAAGCGCAGGTATACACTAACTTTTCCTTATCCGTGCACTCATGTGGTCATGCTGTCAAGTTACAAACCATTGCCTTCTTAAATGCACAGTTATCACAAAGGGACTTGACCTTTTGGCAACGTGCATCCATTTGGAAAGGTGTGTGTGTGTGTGT